AAGCGATATTAATTAATTAGCTGATGAAAGTGGTTACGGAAGTTAATGCCGACACCTCCCACTTTTATATAAAATTTTAAAGTTTAGGGTTTTATATGTTGAGCAAAGGCTTGCCGGTCCATTCCCATCCCCTTCTTTGATCGTGATTTGTTGAGACAATGACTACATTATTGTCTAAACTAAACAAGGAAATTAATGTTACACAAATGTGGGTGGGTGTGGGATGATCATGTGATGTCACTTGAATTCGTATTAATTTTCTAAAGACAAGTTTAAGTTTGCTCTTACTCAAATTGTCAAGTGCTTGACCTTTTGTATGATCAATTTATGCGGCATCGATTCCGAATCAAATGATCACACATCACTATTAGCTAGATTATAATGTATCTGCAAAATTTTGAAATTTTTGTCGTTTAAGTTGTGTCTAAATACTGTTAGTCTATCATTAAAGGGCCTGCATAATCGTCATACTTATTCAACCATAATTAATTATGTTGGTTGTGAACATTATGGAAATTATTTGACATTATTATTTGTCATCAGCTCTTAAACATCTTTAATTAATTGGTGCGAAATTATATATATATATATATATATAAATATGAGAGTCAGTTTGATAGATCAGAATTCTACAAGGCAAAAGGCAAAATTAATTAAGTGAAACATGGGAAGTCTCCATGATCCTCTGAGTCTCCTCCAAGATCTCAAGGTCACTGTCCACCACTCATGCCTGGTTTTCCCATCCCAACAAACACAGAAAAAAACCGTCTTCTTATCAAACATAGACCAAGTTCTCAATTTCGATGTCCAAACCGTCCATTTCTTTGGAGCACACAAAGATTTTCCTGAATCCCAAATTGTAGCTGAGAAAGTCAAGGATGCCCTTGCCAAGATATTGGTTCCCTATGATTTCTTGGCAGGAAGATTGAAGTTGAACCCCAACACGAGTCGCTTAGAGATCGACTGCAATGCATCCGGGGCAGGCTTCGTGGTGGCCTCTAGTGAGTATGCTTTAGATGAGATTGGAGACTTGGTTTATCCTAATTCAGCTTTTGCACAACTGGTTTGCAGCGCTATGGATTCTCGTATACTGAACCCTGCTACTGGCGATGATCATGATCATGATCAGCCACTTTGTATTCTGCAGGTATTAATTTTTATTTTGATCACCGTCATTTATCCTGCATAAAGCTACATCTTATAATTCAGTGCCATTTGGTTTTCTATGGTACATCCGCATGCATATGCTGGCTCATTGAGTGGTACATATTACCCTTACCCTTGAAAGTGATGTTACACCTTTCAATCTACTATACCACAATATATATATGTATATATATATATATTGGTCTTTGATATTCATCAACCTATAGGAGACTGACAAATATGGCATCCCTTCACTTTCCGTCCATTATAAACTTACACGGGCCGCCGGGGTAGGTGCATGCATTATGCATAGATAGATCTGGATCCCCAATTAAGAGATCTGACACCTCCACCTTTCTTTCATTAAGCCACATCAGTATATAACTATATTTTTTCTCCACCAACGCACCGTTTTGGATATAGGTTAGCTCCTTTGCCGTTAGTTTCTATATGCGTGCACACCTCTCTCCCCTCTCTCATGCTTCTCTATTTTGGCCTCTCTGACTCTGTAATAATTGAAAGCTGTTAAGATACCTACAACAAAACTCGAATCTAGGACCTTGCATGAGAGAGTAAATACTCCAAACCAGTATACTAGCGAGTCATATGCAGTTAATATGTTATATATATATATATATATATAGGGAAATATTTAGTCAGTGGTGGTTTTAATTAGTTAGTTTGTGGTTTGAACTTTGATTGAAGAATTAATTAATTATGAATTGAACAGGTGACAACATTTAAGTGTGGTGGATTTGCGATGGGCATATCTAACAACCACGCAACATTTGATGGTTTAAGCTTCAGACTGTTCTTGGACAATCTGGCTGCCGTGGCTGCGAACAAGCCCTTGGTAGCCATTCCTTACAAAGACCGTCATATCTTAGCTGCTCGATCCCCACCCCATGTCCCATTCCTCCACCCTGAGTTACAAGAGCTCAAGAATATGTCCACCCTCGATGACTTAAACCCTACAGTGTTTGAAGCCACCCAAGAAGAGCTTGACTTCAACATCTTCCGGCTCACTGCCACCGACGTGGCTCGCCTCAAAGACAAGGCGAAATCCACCACTGCTGGTAGTAGCTTTAACGTGGTCACGGCCCTCATTTGGCGGTGCAAGGCACTATCATCATCATCAGACGATGATGAAGATGTTAATTACAAGAGGGCGGCAAGTAGTAGTAGTAGTAGTAGAGAATCAAGGATTCTTTATGCGGTGGACATAAGGCCGAGGCTGAAGCCTCCGCTGCCCAAAGCCTACACTGGGAATGCAGTGCTGACTGCCTACGCTTCTGCCAAGTGCAGGGAACTGGAGGAAGTGCCCTTCTCGAAAATGGTGGAGATGGTGTCTGAGGGAGCAACAAGGATGACAGATGAGTATGCAAGATCCGTCATCGACTGGGGAGAGCTACACAAGGGCTTTCCTCACGGGGAGGTGCTGGTCTCATCCTGGTGGAGATTGGGCTTTGCTGACGTGGAGTATCCTTGGGGTAAACCCAGGTACAGCTGTCCCGTTGTATATCACAGGAAGGATATCATTTTGCTCTTTCCTGAACAACAAGATATGCATGAATATTCATCCTCAACCTCAACTACTAGTACTACTAATACGGCTGGAAGAGCTGGTGCTGCTGGGGTTAATATTTTGGTGGCGCTTCCTCATAAGGAAATGCAAAAGTTCCAAGCCCTCTTCCACAAGTTCTTATTCGATGATTGAATATATATATATATATATAAATAAATAAAGAAAACACATAAATGTTGTAAAAAACATGCTTGCATGGAACCATATCTATATGTGTGTAACTAGCTGGGTATTGTATCTTGATTACGATTTTCCGAAGACGGAGGTTAAAGTTGAAGAGAAGAACGACCGTGTGGTATTGTATTGTATGCTATATAAGCCTTCTTGAAGCAAATACACATATAATAGTAGATTTGGCTTACCTCCTCCAAATTGAATTTTCCTTAACTGCAATTCGTTACTTTTGTTCCTATTACTAAAAACCCCGTTTTTTATAAGTAAAAACCCATGACTAAGATCCACCTTATCAAGTTACTTTATCAAGCTCAATATATGATTTATTGTAATTTTTATATTCCCAAAATACCCCTACATATTTGCAATTGTTGTTTTCTCCATTGATTGTGCTGAATATACTATCAGTAATATTCAAATGGTGGTGTTTTGTTGTATAGGAAAATGGTTTTTTAAATTGGCTTAAATTGAGGAATTTTTAGGGTAAGTTTTTTTTCTTTAAAAAAAATTATATTCAGTATCTAAAAAATTCAAGTTTAGGGTCTATTGAATTTATGAAGAAACATTTAATATAACTATAATGTTTTAAAATAAAATAATGAATCTATTTTTTCCACCCTTTTTTTTATGAATCAATTACACAACGTACCTATTTTTTGGCAAAAAAAACACATAATTTTTAATTTATAAATAATGTACCTATTTTTCATTTATAAAAATATTTACAGAAATTTCAATTACAAAGTAACGAATCTTTTTCTTTTTTAAAAAAAAAAATTGTAAATAAAGTACCTATATTATATACATATTTATATTTTTTTATAGATACATTATTTATTGGATATCTAATTTAGGGATTTTTTGTTTGTTTGAAATTTTAGGGATTGGAGATGTGTAGAGGGAATGCCAACCAAAATGAATGGGGTGATTGATATGCTATTAATAGGAAGTATTAATTATAATTAATGTAGTTCATGACATGCTTGAAAATAAATTATAAATAAAATATGAAGGTAGGTGGCATATAATGTAATTTAGTTAATAATACTATGACAAATCTATCTCACATAGAAACCTATTTTAAATTTGAGTTTTCAGTAAAAAATTTAAAAATAAGTTGGTATATAACTAGGATATAGTAGTTGTAAGGGTCTATATCGGAAGAACTCCAGCCAAAAGGTGCATTAATTAATATATATTATATATAGTTATAGTTTATTTATTTTGTATGGATTCTTTTACAACATATATAGACAGGAGTCCAATTTTTCTGTTACCAAAATCCTGCACCCCCTTGTTTCCTTCTTAGTTTTGTGATATGTGGCACAAAACTTAACATTGATTTCACTCTGTTAACTCTTTAGGTCTTTAAAAAATATTTAAAAAATATTAAAATACATGTTTAACAAAATAAATTGAAGTAAAATAATAAAATCCCAGTACCCTCCCATCGATCTTCAACAACCACTCAGCGCACGGCCACCAACGTATGGCAACCCCCTATCCTCCACAACCTAGCTAAGGCTCTCTTTCCTCTTATTTCTCATCAAATTTCTAGCCCAACAGAACATATTTATCTTCTTTGACTCAGATCCTCCATCAACCTTATGGATTGTTCTTCCTTGGAGGAAGCAACCATGGGAAATTCAAGGTCGTGACGGGTAGCCGCGGGAATGTCGTACTCGCGATGAAGCTTGCCAGCATCGTCAAGGCAGAGGACATGTGGGTTCTGGATCTAGTGCGGCAGTGCGAAGAGAGAGAGAGAGGAGAAAGGGAGGGTGTGTGTGTTGAAATAAAGGGACCACAATAAGTGAAGGCATGTATGGATCTGGATCTGTTGCATCGCAGGGTGTGTGGCGGAGAAGACGAAGGGACTGGGCTTGTGAATAAAATTATTTTAATTTTAATATTCTACTTTTTTTTTTTTAATACGAATAACAATTAACATAGTTAAATGAGTGTTAAGTTGTGTGCCACATATCACTCACAAAATTAAGGAAGAAACATGGGGGAACAAGAGTTTTGATAACAGGAAAATTGGACTGATATGGATAGTAGGTGAACTGTACGGAATGACATACTGAAAAACATATATTTATTGTCTAATAATTTGCGAGATTCGTAATTGCGTTGGCCGTGGGCTTTCATAACACACAATCTCTTGCCCTACATCAATAAATGTACGTATATGGGGTTTCATTATAAATTGGTCATGCATCCAAAAATATAATCAAATGTTAATTAATTAAGCCTTTTGTAGACTAGCGAGCCCAATTGGACATTTCTTTGAAAATTTTATGCACACATGTGACACTACTATTGGGAGGAATGTAGAAGCTCCAACTTATATGGTCCCAAACCCCAATAACTAGAAAGAAAATGCTAGATTTACCATAACTATAATATAATAGAAACTACTCACCAAAGCTTGCCGCAGTTGTTGCTGGAATATCCGTAACCAGCCTGAAAAGTTGGCACAATCAGAAGTATAAGACCAACATTTAACTGATATTCCGAAAACAACCAGGAATAAATGAATGAACGTTCTTCTTTTTCCTAAGCAAATCCTTCTTCGTCTATATATACTCTTTCCCCAATATATATTTGGTTGGAAAAGGCATGAAGATTTGAGCTGGAAACCTCAACTTTGATGGCAAATTGCTTAAGCCAAAGGGGGAAGATATAGTCAATCTATAGGGAGGGAATATGACAAATTTCTATGGGAAAGAGGGAGAAAGAAAGAGAGAGAGAGAGAGAGATGTCTTTATTCCTTGGGAGAGAGAAGCGACAAATAATACACACCAATGCAAATATTCCTTTAGGTTGGGGTCACTTGGGCTAGGTGCATCAGGATCCACCATGACCTGCAACAATGAATTAATGTATCATATGTACTGGAGAGTTGATAAATAAATAAAAAACATGCAAGCAAGAGGATGGATTGACCCCGTACGTATGGACTTAATTATGCAAAATAAGATGGGGGGGAGTCGAGAAGCATGCAAATATATTATATATGCAAAAGATGAGATGGAATGGAAGAAAGTAGATTAATAAAGTAGTAATAGTATATTACTTTACTTACCAGAGTGTAGAAAGTCCTAAGATCATCCCCACCAGTATCAACTCTAGGTTGGTGGACAACTTGGGAAGGTTTGAGCTCGCAACCATTGTTAACCTCCTTCATACCGTAAGTGACCCTGAGAGAAACAGACCTTGTAAACGGGTCTAAAACATCACCTACCACTCTTCCAACAACAAGCGGGTCCCTGTCCCTAGGCATTTTCCTCCTTTTCTTTATTTTTATATCTTTTGACGAATAAATATATATATATATATATATATATACGAAGCTCAAACACTCAAACTCAAACTCAAACACAAAGTATCCAAATAACTAGTTGGATTGGATATTGAGAAGATCGATTTGGTTTGGTGATCCAATTCGAGAGGGCCATTGGCTATTTATATTCTGTTGCATGCTGCGCTGCGCATTTTGTTTTTCTTCTTGTGTAACCAGTAACTTAAAAAGATATTCTGATTGCTCCGTGGACCGCTTTTGCCTTTTGCTCTTGAGATATTTTTATTTTCTTTTGATTCTTACTAAGTTCCTCTCTTTCATAAACCTGTAAAGTCAAGTAGTGGACCACCACTCTTTATTCTCCCATTCATCAGTTTATGCGGTGTCGGTCCAAAAAGCTCCCCCATCATCGTACATGTTGTCAAAATCTGCTCTTTCCCTCCAGAAGAAAATTCTAGCTACCTGGCAATCTCAAATTATTCAAATTCTTTTTTTCATTAAATATATGAAATAGTCAGTGATTAGAGACTTGTAACTGAATTAGTTAAGAATAATAATTATTCTTACATTTGGAGATAATGTGATGGTGTGAGCGGATAAAAAGAGAAAGAAAAACAAACATAAATGCAAATTAAAGCGTAAGTTTTGTTATTGGGTTGTGTGGCATAGGCGAGGCAGTGGCAGATCGCTTTCTCAGGGAATCTTGGTGGGATTTAAACAAAGTTGCTAGTCTGGAATGAGTACGTGTGTGGATGTGATGAACTGAACCGAAGGGTTTAGAAGAATCGCAAGAATGTGGTTAATTTTGAGTGTGGACATAGATGATTATGAGATTCGAAATAGTTGACGATGAACTCAAAACTGTAGGCTGTGTAGCTCATGAACTCAAAACTGTAGGTTTCACTGCACACTGCCAACTCATAAACTATATATTCATCGTATCATCATATCATATCATGTCACTGGTTTATATATATATCGTCAGTAGGTGTGAGCAGTGATGAGTCAGTCAGATATATACATCATGAGCAGCAGCAAACCACGCATGCACCTAAATACTGATATCTTCAGGGGACCTAGTACCTACGCATGCACTTCCCATTCCCATTCCCATTCCCCACTATACATATCGGTTGTCCTGTCTGTCTCTGATCTCATCTGCTAAATATAAGAACGTACATATATTATTATTATCAACTGCCGAAATCTCTCTCCTTAGAGTGTTAGACCCAACGATCCGTCTCCATCTAGTGCCGTGCTCATTTGGACAGGTCAAAAGTTCACGATGATCGAGCTATATGGCAGATATTTTCATTACTTTTTTTCTTCTTCTTTTTTTTCTTTCGTCCTTTCTCAACTGATTATATAGCCCTTGTACGGACTTCTATTGTCTTACCTACGTATAGTTATTGTATATATGACTTCATTCCTTCCAGATATATATATGCTTTACTTAAAGAAATTAATTTTATTGTGATTGAGAGGAAGCAATGAGCAAAGGGCCTTCCTTGCATATTTTGACATTGTGGTGTGCGCTTGTTACTTTTTTGGGTGTGAGAGTGAGAGGATGAGGCCGCACAAACACAAGAAAAAGAGAGATAAATAGATACAAGAATTGACTGATGAGCAAGAGAGGGCCTTAGCCCGACTCTTTTTTAGGTACTAGTACTAGTAGTTGATGAAAGCCCTCGATCGAGGGAATTGGGATCATTTCATGATTTCATTATTCTTCTTCCCAGTTCCAACCGATCAATTTTATTTTTATATAAATAAAAAAAAGAACAAGTGAGTGAATCAAAGCTGGACAAAGACTGCGTGCGTAGCCAAAAAACAAAGGAACAAAGGGATACAGAATCAATTTGGATTGGATGTTCAGCAATTGTCGCCCATCAATATATATACTTCGATTTCTCGAGATACATAAAGTATTGGTCACCAGAGAACCTTCCAAATAAGGAAATGATTCGCTTTGTGGCCAAACCACAACTCCATTCTCCTCCTCCGCCTCTCTAAACCTATCCATCACACACATAAAGCAAGCAGACCCACTTGTTGTGTTTTTTTTTTTATCTCTTGTAAGTTTTGTCCCGCGTCTTCTTGCCAATCAAATTCCACATATATAATTATAAAACATTCGCACGTAAATACCATCTTCTTTTTCATTGAGGCGGACACACAAACACCACCAGAGTCCAGTCCACTTACAAAAGATAAGTGAAAAGCCATCGAGGTGTGCCAACCACCCTTTTTCAAGGTCCAGCACAGCACAGTACCTGATCTTCAATTCATGAATATATTACCATTCTCATTTTTGGGCTCTCTCAGTTCCATTTTGGTATGCCATTTCCAGCCTACTACTTCTTCTTTTTCTCATATATATACCTATGAAGGAATGTAATGCACTTTCTCTTGTACTAACTTACCCTTATTCAAATACCACTTTTCATTACTAACTTTAACAAAATGAAGGGTAATATTGGAAAATTGAACAAGTATTCATTTCTAATACTACATAAACCAAACAAGGGAATTAGATAAAATGACATTTTTCAGGGTTGCTAAACACATGAGTGAACATCTCCTATTAATATCCTCTCATATTAGACATGAGAGTTTTATTCCCAATAAATTTATTTTGTTAAACAAACCGACTTTTAGTGGTGTTTATCTTCAAGAAACTACAAGACCATCTCCAATTACGTTTGGGCTAAACTCAAAATTCCACCCTCCAAAATACAATTATTCATATATTTTTCGGACTCAACTAGTTTTTTCCTCCAGCCATGCACACTTATAATTTGAGTTTGTAACTTTATTAAATTGTTCAAGAATGGTGAACCCATAATTTTGTTCTTTCGTTAATTTATCTTTACATTATTTTTGTTTAAATATTCGTGATTTAATTTTATAAATATTTTACCCTAAAAAAATTCAACATTCAAAATATAATATAATTTCACTTAAAATGAAAACAACATTGGGTTTGAATGAAAACAAAAACAAAAAAACAAAAAGTGTCGTGAAATGTGGTCGTTGGATAACGACTACTTCGCCTGATCTTGCCACGCGAAGCGCACTAGCGTTGGTCGATCCCAGTGCTTGTGTTAGACGGGGCCCTCTTTATTCACTTGTTCATGTGGGGGTACTTTTCTTCTCTCCGTGGAGTTCACCAGTCCATGCAATCCAGTAGACAATATATAGGGCCACGCAATACATGGGTTGGAGAACGTTTTTAGGCTGAAAACCAAACGCTTGCTCGTTAAAGTTGGAAATGGCCTAAGCAGTGGGCTACACCCACAAATTTAGCAATTTCACATCCAAAAGTCCTCTTCAGCAAATGAGCTAAACATGCCATGTCATTGGGCCAAACCTAATCACCATACCAAGGAGGCAAACTGTTGGCCCAAACTTGGCTTGATTTATGGGTGGGCTATTTAAGGTCGGTTGACGTCAGCTAGCCACCAGTCCATGCAATCCAGTAGACAATATATAGGGCCACGCAATACATGGGTCGGAGAACGTTTTTAGGCTGAAAACCAAACGCTTAGCTCGTTAAAGTTGGAAATGGCCTAAGCAGTGGGCTACACCCACAAATTTAGCAATTTCACATCCAAAAGTCCTCTTCAACAAATGAGCTAAACATGCCATGTCATTGGGCCAAATCTAATCACCATACCAAGGAGGCAAACTGTTGGCCCAAACTTGGCTTGATTTATGGGTGGGCTATTTAAGGTCGGTTGACGTCAGCTAGCCATTATTATTATTTTCCAAAAAAATCCAAAAAATTGGTATTTTATATATATATATATATAATCTAAACAAATCCTTTTTCATTTTCTATAAATACCAACCTCATTTCTACATAATTTCCAATGTTCTTTTCATCTTTCATTTTACATACTATCCTTACTCTTTTCAACCTTCTATAGAATTTCCCACAATTTTTTCATCATTTACCTATTATCCTTCCTCTTTTCATACAAAAAAAAGTCCCCTCATCTAAAATGTATTTTTTTTTAGGTTTGAACCACGAGGTGGTCTTGGATGGGCCCCAACTATGGGTAACACCTTTAAGTCTTAACCACAACCCAGACTAATTCCCGCTCACACCGGGTCGGCCCGTAAGGGGTAAAGTGTTGGCCAAAATGGTGACTCCATTCTAAAATGTATTTTGAATAGGGTATAAATAGTACTTTAATTAAATTAACCAATATATTTAAATCATATACTAAAAATTAATAAAATATTTAGTCATGATTTAGTCATGCACTGCTCGAGACAATAAAAATATAGCCCAATACTATTCCTTAAAAAACTATAAATAATGGACTAAATTTTATGGGTTGACTGTATTTAGCCCACCACTACACTACCGAAGATGGCCTAAGGGATCCAACTTAGAATATTTGAATCTTCACTATCACTTATTAAAAGCAAAAGTAATGAAAGAGGTCAGTTCTTATGTTGGCAGACATTTTGAACATAAGATTTAAAAAAATAAAATAAAATCTCTCCCTGTTTCTTGCTATTCTCTTTCTTATTAGTCTTTGACATCCTACAAAACCAGTTTACTTTCGAGTAATAAAGGGAGAATTACTATAAAAAAAGACACATTTTCGAAAAAAAAAAACATAAATATTTAATTTTAATTATTTTGTGGCAAAATTGTTAACCATGTTTCTAAATTGTTCTGCATGGAATTTAATTATACTATTTTCCTCCGGCGCCACGAGTACTGGCAAATGCCATGCGTCCCCCACGTGTCTCATTTTCCGGTGTCCCGCGCAAACGAACACCAGTGGCGCGAAAAACGAAAATCATAAAAAGCGTTATTTTCGCAATTTTGGAGGCAAACCTTTTTGGCGGGAAAAATAAAAGTATGGCAACCCTTTTGGTAATATTATTCTCCAAGACCATTTTATTAATTATTTATAGAAAACAGAAAAAATAAATAAATTTGTTTCGTCTTCAAAATTATTCATAGCTGTTGGAAAAATTGTTACTTCATATATCTGGTTGCCGCTCTGTCTCTACAACTCCCACCCATCTTTTCAGTATCTCCAAGAATTTCTTTGTTTAAAAAGTTAAAAGAAGAAAAGACGGTGAAGATATTTGGAAAAGCCATTCTTTCTCTCATTAGGGTTTCTGA